TGATCTGGTGAACTGGAAAGTGACCTGAGATGACATGATGTGAATTGGAGCTATAGAAATACACTGAATAGAATTGAATGAACTAATGAGTAAACGAACCATAAACCTAAAGAAACTCGCTCAAAGGATTACAAGGAACAATGTTATTTCTGAAAGTCTGGAACAGGAAATAAAAACAAGGGAGGGCTTTGGGACCCAGAGGAATCTCTGATCTGTGGCATGGTTCCTTTTTTTGTAATCCAGAACCAAATAATGTTGGGTAACCTCACTTGGTGCCGGTTTCTATCCAAACCTCCATGAATCTCTTGGTTCAGTTTTAATAAAAAACCATTCTGCTGCTTTTCTAACCTCCAAACTATTTTGACTCTCTTCTCCCAGGATTTCAACCATGATGCGGTTTGGAAGGAGCAGCGTCGGTCCTGGAGAGTCCGACCCCAGCGTCCAGAGGATGGACAGCAGCAGGTCCAAGTCTGTCTCATGTTGCTGTCCAGCTACTGTCTGGATGGATACAGGAAGCTAATATTCTCCTCTGTTGGTTCCTGTTGCAGGGTTAACCAGAGGCCCCTGGCTGCACTGAACACAAACAGCTCCAACAATAATGATGGGTAAGTGTCAAAAAGCAAGTATTCAGCCATGCATTCTGGTTAAATAAAGCAGATGGAGGGTAATGCATTTTATTGTCTTTATTTGCGAGGAGAGAACAAGATGATAAGAGCGGCTCTAACAGCTCCATGTTCTGCTCTGTTTCTAATTAGACAGTTTGTCTCTGCAGTGAGCAGCTGTGAAGGTTTTATAAACAAAACGACTTAAAGGGGCTTTAGGAAACAGTTTATATGATGGAGGAGAAAGAACAACGGAGTATAAGGTGGAGATTTTTTATTTTAGATACGAGAATAATGCGTAAAATTCGATTTTATTCTCTTAATGTTGCAACTTTATCCTCTTAAATTTATGACTCTATTCTCATAATATTATGACTTTATTCTATTGTCAGAATATTATGACTGTGTTCTCGTATTGCAACTTTGTTTTCATAATGTTCTGACTTTATTCTCGGCATTTTTCAACTTTGTTCTCTTACTTCTGGGTGTGCAGGTGGCGCAGTAGTTAGCACGCACACCCTATGTACTGAGGCCTTAGTCTTCGCCGCGGGCGACCTGGGTTTGAATCTGACCTGTGGTCCTTTCCCACATGTCTCTCCTTCCCCCTTTACTGTTAGAAAAACAAAAAAAATGTTGGTCTTGAACTGCTAAGACTTTATTCTCGTACATTTATGACTTTATTCTTGCAAAGTTATAATTTTACTCTCATAATATTACGGTTTTTTCCTCATAATGTTCCGACTTTATTCCCACATTAAAAAAAAAATAAATCTCTAGCCTGGCGCTAATAATCTGCTGTAAGAAAGAGAGTGTTCTTTATCTGAAGTATTATTCGCCGTTCCAAACAATCCCAAATAGTGAACTCAGCTCAGACACTGTGTCGCCTTAAGTGGGAAAAACGACTGAGTGAAAACTTTTATAAAGTAAGTCAATCTAAAACAATCACTCGTAAATATATATATATATATATATATATATATATATATATATATATATATATATATATATATTTAAAACACTTTTATAGAAGGTAGATGATCAACCTCAGCTTTATACTACAGTTAAAGTGTAAAAGTACCCTTTTTACAACTACTTAAAGTTAAAAAGTAAAAGTAATGCAGGAAAAGCTGTTAAGGCCAGAAGCTTTACTGCTCTACGCTATTAAAGGAACATTTTCTACCATTCTGGATGATAACTTCCTTAGACTTCATTTTCTTAGTTTTATAACTAACGGTAACAGAGTCAGATTTAACTTTGCATCATCTTGAAAGACCATTCATTTTGGTTTGTGATGAACAACAAGTTGGGGCAGCACCGACTCCAACAACAAAGAGATTGTCTGGATGAAACTAATTATTTTGATGGTCATAATGAAAATGAGCTTAAATGAAACAAAACTAACGACTCTATTTTTTTCCAGAAGGATGTCTAAAAAATACTAATAAAGTATAGATAGCCAACATTTCTACTTAAGTAAGGTAATGAAGTATTAGTACTTTTGATCACTGCACCAACAATGTTATCTGCTTTTATTATAGAACGGTGCGACCACTCTACTCTACTCAATGACAAGGCAAAGTGTCCACCTGACCTGCCTCTCTGTATTATTGTTTTTAGGAAAAAGGAAGAAAAGAAGGATGATAAAAAAGACGACAAGAAAGATGATAAAAAAGACGAGAAGAAAGACGATAAAAAAGACGACAAGAAAGACGATAAAAAAGACAAGAAAGACGATAAAAAAGACGACAAGAAAGATGCAAAGAAAGATGACAAGAAAGATGAGAAAAAAGAGCCACCGTAAGTACTTTGATTATTTCCTTTCATTACCAGAAATAAAATCTTGAAATCATAACTTTGTGACCCAGTTTATAATATTTGGTTTCATAGATTTTAAAACGATACCTCGCAAGATTCCAATTTGGACAGTTTGGGGTAAATTACCTGTATTTTACTGTTTATGTCAGAATATTTCCCCTACATTCAGTCATTCACACGCTTATGGTGGTAAGCTACATGGTAGCCACTGCTGCCTTTGGGCAGACTGACAGGAGGCGCCTCCTATGGCGCTGCCCGGCCCTCTAATCACCAACAGCAGGCAAGAAGAGGGGAGGGTACAGCTCAAGGACACAATGGCTGAGAAGGAAGGAGCAAGAGCTTGAACCAGCATCCCTCCAGATACTGGATCAACCCCTAAATCCTGAGTTATTAGCCCCATTTACACTATCCTCTGAAAACCGATCTGTGCAGATTGTGGAGTAAAAATGTCTGTTCTTAGCCTCACAGGCTCCAAACGAAGGTCATGAGAGATAACAATATGTTACTCAGATGCTGTTTTAAAAAGATCCATCTGACCAGTAAAAGATAGATTAACCTAACAGGGAACAGGCTTGATGAACTCAAGTTGTTTTTCCTCCAAAGGTTCAACTGTGAGAAAGTTCTTTATGCAGGGGGTGGGTTGGTTCCCCTGGGGGGAGTGTGTGTGTGGGGATTTGCTGTATAAAAGTACGTACTGAGCTTTACCCAGTCAGAGCACCATCTCTCCATCTGACATGAAATAAATTGTAACCTTTTTTCTTGCAAAAAAACGATCATTTACACACAACGCAAGCACAGGTTCCTCGACCGCTAATGGCGATCTTCGGTACTACTGCTCTCTAGATGTGAATAAGCAAACCAACATGGTGGCGCCCGTAACATTCAGGAAGTTTGCAGAGAGTCAGGCGAAGAAGGCAGGCTTTGGTGAATTAACTTGACAGAGTCGGCTTCTGGGAAGTGGATACGACAAACGATAGTCTAATCAGGGCTTCCAGATGCAGGAAACAACGACCGACGTTGAGCTTTCTTTGCGCTGCTATAAGCATAATCATCACTGAAAATCGTGTGGCACGGTAGGGAAACTAGGATTTTTTTGAATGTCTCAAATTAATGATTACGGAGGCTGACTGTAAGGAGATGACGCTCTCTGCTCATGCACTCTTTGTTGTCTGAGAACCGAGCCAGAACTGAACCGGGCCGAGCCCTACTGATGAACTAGCACCACGTTAGTGCGGTTCAGTTGTGTCTGGCACGGTCCAGTTCAGTTGTGCGTACCATTTAATCTCAACAGTTATCTTGGTTACCGTGCTCGGATCGATCTCGGCAGGGTTTGGAAAGGATAGTGGAAATGAGGCTAATGACTTCTAGCCAAAGCTGTCTGAACAGTGCTAGCAGTAAGGAAGGAGGTAGGAAAAGGAGCCTGTATGCTTCCTCTAATAGTTCCTTTAGTGTAGGAAACTCACAACTTCCTATCTGGCGCTAAGGAGCAGAATCCTTTGCGTGACAGAGTGTATACACACAGCTAACCTCAAGAGTTTAACAAAAAGGCATAACATCTTTTCATGTACTGTGTGTGACACACATTGATGTGCCTATATATTCCTATATATTTGGTATTATCATGGAGAGCTTCAGCCATTTGGTATATTTGTGAAACTTGAGTCCTGTTTCAGAAGGCTGTAGTCCTAGTCTGGGTATCAATATCCTTATTTATTTCATTGGCATAATAACGTCCATCTACAAAAAACCCCTGGAGTAGAGACGAATAAGAATGCTAGCTCCTGTTAGCTTGCAGCACTAAGAGCTTCTACTGAAACATGGAGCTTCATCAGCTCTTTATTTCAGCTCTACAGGAGTTAAGCCCAGTCTCTCCATTGGTTCAACAGCTTTAATGCGGAAAATAAATGTCAAAATGAGTGATTTCGGGACATTTGTTCTCCGTCTGCCTCCTGCTTAGCACGCTCTTGAGCTAAATGAAAATCAGCCCCTTATTCTTTGATTTCCAACTTTTGACTTCCCTCTCTGGCGTTTATGAAGAAAACAAAGAAAAGCCGCACATTCTTATAAGCCGCATGGTTCAAAGCGTGGGAAATAAGTAGCGGCTTATAGTCCGGAAAATACGGCAGTTTAAATTATGTTTTAAGCTCCCTTGTTTTTATTGGCTTATTTTAATCTGTTTATTATTACTATGTAAATATGAAACCAATTTTATGGTTTTATTTTTAGTAACTTTATGGTTCTGGTAATGAATAGTGTGGTTGACCACTTGTTGTCGCTTCAATCAGGAAGGAGGTGTGGATCATGGATCCTGCTACGGATACCTACTACTACTGGCTATGCACAGTTTCCGTTCCCGTCTTCTACAACCTCATGTTTCTTGTTGCCAGGTTTGGTTGTACAACCTAATATTTTGACTTATCACTTTGTATATTCTTGCCCTAAAATTTGATTCTTTTTTTTGTGTAGATCGTGCTTTAATGAGCTACAGTACAGTAATTCAACACTGTGGATGGTTCTAGACTACATGTCGGACGTCATCTACTACATGGACACCTATGTGAGAGCCAGGACAGGTAAGTCAGATTTCTCTCTTTACCAGCAGTGGCGCCTCCAGAAATGTTTCATAGGGGGGCCAGATAGGGCCACTAAAAATCTTGGGGTGGCCACTGAAACTAAAAGTCATAATTTTTCAGGGTTTGAATCTACTGTTCTGGTAAACCTGCCTGTAGAAATCAGAAAGACTTTAGTAAACACCTTCTCAGATCTTGTTTTTTTGTTTGATTTTTAATGTTACAGTGCTGGCTGTGCAGAATGGGATGAAATGCTAGACTGATGTTACTACAATTTACACTGACCAGTGGGGTGGCCAGGGCATTGAACCAGGTGGCCACAGCCACCCTGTGCAAAGCCCTGATCACCCCACTGGCTAGTGGGGTGGCCCTGGCCATCGGGGGTTTGGCTACAGCCCGGTGGCCACAGCCACCCTTTGCAAGGCAACCCCTTGGTGGCCACAGCCACCCTTTGCAAGGCAACCCCTTGGTGGCCACAGGCGCCCTGTGCAAGGCATCCCCTTGGTGGCCACAGGGGCCCTGTGCAATGCCCTGGCCACCCCACTGGCTGCTAGGGCATTGCACAGGGTGGCCGTGGCCAACCCTAGCTACTCCTTGGTGGCACCACTGTTTCCCAGATGTTAAACATTTCAAACCTTCTCATGTTTAATGTGTCAACAGGTTTCCTGGAGCAAGGACTGCTTGTGAAGGATGAAAAGCTCCTTAAAGAAAAGTACATGAAGACGCGGCAGTTCAAGTTAGACCTCATCTCTATCATTCCTACTGACTTTGTGTTCCTTCAAATCGGGGTGGACAACCCGGAGTGGAGGTTCAACCGTCTCTTCAGGCTAGCTCGACTCTTTGAGTTCTTCGACCGAACTGAAACTCGAACCAATTTTCCGAACATCTTCCGCATTGCAAATCTTGTACTTTACATCATCATCATCATACACTGGAACGCTTGTCTTTACTTTGCCGTCTCCAAGGTACTCGGCTTCGGCTCTGACACCTGGGTATATCCAGACTTGAGCAATCCGGTGTACGCTCGTCTGAGCAGACAGTACATCTACTGTTTCTACTGGTCCACCCTCACCTTGACAACTATCGGTGAGACTCCGCCTCCAGTCCGAGACATAGAGTACTTTTTTGTTGTAGCTGACTTTCTCACCGGGGTTCTGATCTTTGCAACGATCGTAGGCAACGTGGGTGCAATGATTTCAAACATGAATGCTGCGCGAGTAGAGTTTCAGGCCAAGATTGATTCAATCAAGCAGTACATGCAGTTTCGGAAGGTCACAAAAGACCTGGAGGCTAGGGTGGTGAAGTGGTTTGACTACCTTTGGACAGAGGGGAAGTCCTGCGACGAGAAGCTGGTACTCAAGAACCTCCCTGACAAACTAAAGGCGGAGATAGCTATCAACGTCCACCTGGAGACGCTAAGAAAAGTGCGCATCTTTCAAGACTGTGAGGCCGGTTTGCTTGTGGAGTTAGTTCTGAAGCTGCAACCTCAGGTCTTTAGTCCCGGTGACTACATCTGCAAAAAGGGGGACATAGGTAGAGAAATGTACATAATAAAAGAAGGAAAGTTAGCTGTCGTGGCAGACGATGGGGTGACGCAGTTTGTTGTCCTCAGCGATGGGGCGTATTTTGGAGAAATCAGTATCCTTGGGATAAAAGGCAGCAAAGCAGGCAACCGGAGAACCGCCAACATCCGAAGCGTTGGCTACTCGGATCTGTTTGCGTTATCAAAAGACGATCTGATGGAGGCCCTCACGGAATACCCCGATGCTAAATATGCTCTGGAAGACAAGGGAAGGGCCATTCTGATGAAAGACAATCTCATAGATGAGTCCTTGGTAGCTGCTGTTGACGCCAAAGATTTGGACGATAAAGTCAGCGTAATTGAAAACAGCGTGGAGGTCATGACGACAAAACTGCAAAAGCTTAGAAATCAATATGAGTCCTCTCAACGCAAACTCACGCAGCGGCTCACTAACTTATCAAACCAGGTCAGAACCCTTCGAGTTGATGAGTGACACACTCGCCAAGGACCACTAATGCCCCGAGGTAGCAAAGAATCTTCATCTCTGGGACCGTAGAGTTTCAATACTCCACACATGGAACAGTTGGACAGTGTCTCTAATCATACTCCCATATAGGATCAAATAAAAAAGTTGCCTTTAAAATTGTCCATTGTGTCTGTCTTCTGGTGTTCATATGGAGGAGCTAGGTAAGGTCAGCTGGACTGAACAGGAAGCATTATCAATAAACAAAGGTACTTCATAGACACAAATCTTGGTATTTTGACTTATTTGACTACAGATTAAACCAGATAGTTTTACCTCTGAAAATGTCATAGGTGGATGGACGACCCAAATATTTTACCCAAGTAAAAGTAGCACCTTTTACTTTTTTCAGTAGAAAGTAGTCTTCCGAGAAATTACTCAAAGAAGATCAAATCTAATGTAATGGTTAAACAGGCGCTAGAAACAGGAGCTAGGGGCTAGGAAACGACCAAGAGCTATTAAGTAGAACAAGCTATGACCCAGGAATATGAACAAGGAACAAGGGCCAGGAGCTAAGCATATGAGCTAGAGACAGGAGCTAAATGCTAATAAAAGGAGCTACGGGCTAGGAACAGGAGCTAAGAGGTAGGAAAAGCAGCTATGAGCTACGAACAGAAGGTACTAACCAGAAATACGAGCTATGAGCTAGCTGCCAGGAATAGGAGTTAGGAGCTAATAACAGGAGCTATGAGCTCCAGACAGTAGTTAGGAGCTAAGAGTTAGGAGCTAATAACAGGAGCTATGAGCTCCGGCCAGGTGTTAGGAGCTAGGAACAGGAGGTATTAACTGGAAAAATAAGCTAGGAGCAGGTAATATGACATACGGGGTAGGAGCGGAGAAAGAATAGGAGCCAGGAAAAGGAGCTAGGAAAAGGGAAAAGGAGCTAAAAATAGAAGCTAGGGATATGACCTAGGAACAGGAGCTAGGAGATATGAATAGGAACTAGGAAGAGGTACTAGGAGCTAATGACAGAAATGAGGAACAGGGACTAGGAGATGGGAAGGGGAGCTAGTTAACATGGGCTTGCAGCTAAGAACAGGAGTTAGGAATAGGAGCTAAGAACAGGAGATGTTAACTACAAATAGGAGCTATGAACTGGGAGCCAGGAACAAGGGATAGGAGTTAAGCATATGAGCTAGGGAAAGGAGCTAAGAGCAAGGACAGGACCTATGAGCTATGAACAGGAGCTAAAACTTAACAGCTAGGAACAAGGCCTAGGACCTAAGAACATGAGCTAGGAACAGGGGCTAGGAGGTAGGAAAAGCTTCTAGGAACACAGGATAGGAGCTAGGAACTAGGGCTATAAGATAAGAAAAGGAGCTAGGAACAGGGACTAGGAACTGGAGCTAAGAGGTAGAAATAGGAGCAACGAATAGGGGCTTGGAAAACAAGCTAGAAGGTAAGAACAGGAGCTAGGAACAAGATCTGCTAGGAATAGGAGCTAGCAATAGGAGCTAGGTGCCAAGAAAAGGAGCTAGGAACAAGGGCTAGGAGCTAACAATATGAGCCGAGAACAAGAGCTAGGAGCTAGGAACATGGTCTAGGAGGCAGGAACTGGGGCTAGGGGCACGGTGTAGGAGGTAGGAAAAAGAACTAGGAGCTAAAAACATTAGCTAGGAAGAGGGGCTAGGTGGTAGGAAAACCTTCTAGTAACACGGGTTGGGAGTTAGGAACAGGAGCTAGGAACAAGAGCTAAGAGGAAGCAATAGGAGCTAGGAACAGGGGCTTGGAACACAAGCTAGAGAGTAGGAAAAGGAGCTAATAATAGGAGCAAAGAGCTAGAAACAAGAGCTAGAGACAAGGGCTAGGAGCTAAGAATATGAGCTAGGAACAGGAGGTAGGAGCTAGAAACATGGGTTAGGAGGTAGGTAAAAGGGGCTAGGAAAATGGGCTAGGGCGCTAAGAACAGAAGATAGGAACTGAAAACAGGAACTAGGAGTTAGGAATATGTGGTAGGAAAGGGAGCCAGGAACAGCAGCTATTAGCTACAATAGGAGCTAGGAGCCAGGGATAAGAGCTAGGAACAGGGTATAGGAGCTAGGAATAGAAACTAGGGAAAGGAGCTAGGAACAGAAGCCAGGATCTAGGAAAAAGAGGCATTAACTGGGAATATAAGAGCTAGGAACCAGGAATGGGAGCTAGCAACAGGAGATAGAAGCTAGCACAGGTGCCATTAATAGGAACAGGAGCTGTTTACCAGAAAAAGGAGATGTGAGCCAGGAATAGGACGTAGGAGCAGGGGCCATGAGCTAGGAGGTAGGAATAGAAACAGAGGCTAGGAGCAAAGAACAGTAACAAGGAGTAAGAAATTGGAGCTATGCACGTGAGCTATGTGCCTGCAGCCAGGAATAAAAGCTAGGAACAGGGGCTATGAGCTAGGAGGTAGGAATAGGAACTAGGAACAGAGGCTAGGAGCACAGAACAGTAACAATGAATAAGGAATTGGAAATATGCACAGGAGCTATGTGCCTGCAGCCAGGAATAAAAGCTAGGAACAGGGGCTATGAGCTAGGAGGTAGGAATAGGAACTAGGAACAGAGGCTAGGAGCACAGAACAGTAACAATGAATAAGGAATTGGAAATATGCACAGGAGCTATGTGCCTGCAGCCAGGAATAAAAGCTAGGAACAGGGGCTATGAGCTAAGAACAAGGAAAAGGGTAGCTTTAAACATAGGCTAGCACCCTAAAGCTAATAACAGGAGATAGAAACAGAAATATTAATCAGCTATGAGGTAGAAATCAGGAATGAGAGCTAGGGACAGGGGCTAGGAGCTACAAATAGGAGCTAGGAACAGGAGATAGGAGCTAGAAATAGGAGCTATTAACTAGGACCAGTGGCTATGAACCAGGAGTCAAGAGTAGCATCTGTAAACAGGGGCTAGCAATAGGGCCTAGGACTTAAGACCTTTATCTAGTGGGTTGGAACATTAGCTGGCAACTAGGAGCAGGAGCTCAGAGGTCCCTATGCTACTAGGAAGCATCCTTCTCCTAGTCCCTTCCTTACTGATAGGACTATCAGGATGCCACCCTCAGAGAGAGCGGGTCCACTGTGGCTCCTTACTGATTGGAGGCATTTAGATCCAGCCGAAGGCGCTCAGAACCACCAGCATCTCCTCCCTGATTGTAGCTTTTGTTCTGGGGTAGATCTGAACACCTGAGTTCTTATAAACTGTATAATGTTTATATTGACAGAAATCTGTTTGAGCAGATAAACCTGGAACCTTCAGGGGCCATTAAATGGGGCCAAAGGTCATTTATTTTCTACAGGATATCAGACGAGGAAGCAACTTTTTAGGTGTTAACCTGAAACCGAGAAACAGGCAAACCTGGCTGCTGATTAACCAATCAGAAGCAAAGGATTTACATCATCTAAACGGTTGCTATCCCCGATTATTTAGGCATTCAGAGCATCTGCAAGGAGAGGCTTCTATAAAGCAACTCATCCTGCTGACTCAGAGCTGTGTGGTCAACATTGCTGGTCTCTACTGCCATCTAGTGGGGTTTGTTGGACATCATGACATTTATTTGGGACCTTAAGTTTTTCTACATGCGTCCTATAGCATCACTTACCTTCCACATCAGCATGAACTCACTGACCCCACTGTCTAACATGGAGGAGGCAGAGTCATGCTGAGGGGAGCAGTATGCCTAAGTAACACTTTAGTTGACTGGTAGTTTCATTGGTAAAAACCTGAGGGTCCAAACTTTAAAGATTTAGATCTACTTTAGAAAAAAATATTAGCACAGCAGCAGGGAAAATGTCCCCCAGGATGAGGAGCCACCACCGAACCTTACAGTGGAAAACAGACACTGAATGCTGATCTGCGATAAAAAAAAATTTTTATCCTGTTTCAGGAATTAATTCCAGTCACATTTTGGTTCAAATTAATATTTATTTAATTCTACATTAAAGGGAAACCAAACCATGAAAAGATTGTCTTGTTCTGGAGATCGGTGAGCAGCACCCTCCTCATCCTCACCGTCAGCAGCTCCACCCTAAAAGAAACACTCTAGAGTTCCCCAACCCCCACTGAAAGTCTGGGAACATCCACCCTAGTGTGAAGCACAGTGGTGGCAGCATCATGGCGCTGCTCCACAGAGTAGATAGAGGAGTTCAAGGTTGGAAACAGACAATTGAAAACAGGAAACAAACCCTTGGATTCAAAGCTTTGGGTTTAGAGGAGTTCTATCAAAAAGGCGTTTGGTTCGCCACTCTGCCAGGAGACGGTGTTGTCCTAGCAACAGCCTGGGGTGGAGCTTTTAACCACCAGACCCGTCCTGCAACGATTCCAAAGACTTGGTTCTGACTGATCCAGGCTCAGAAGTATTCACACCCCCTGGAAGATTCAGCCATTAAAGCCCAACTGCTGTAAAACCAGAGGAAGCCAGCAGGGGGAGCCAGAGGTTAATACCAGCTTAAACTGTTTTACTGAGGGATTAAAATAATCGGTTCAAATATTTAAATTCGACTTGATTGCCATCAGAAACACATTTCTTACGGAAAAATAAAAACATTTTTGGGCTTCAACTCTGATCTTTTAGATTTTCCAGGATGATCTGATCAGCAGGGCTAATTAAGACATTTGTTTCCAGAGTGACTTTGTTCTTTTATTGTACTTTTTCCACCAGAAATGTGAAAAATAAAAGTTAAAAAATAAAAAAAGGAGGAAGTAAAGAAGGAAGAAACAGATGAAAGGAAGAAAATAGAGGAGGAAGTAAAGAAGGAAGAAACAGATGAAAGGAAGAAAACAGAGGAGGGAGGAAGTAAAGAAGGAACTGAGGAGGGAGGTAAATAAGGAAGAAACAGATGAAAAGAAGAAAATTGAGGAGGGAGGAAATAAAGAAGGAAGAAACAGATGAAAGGAAGAAAATTGAGGAGGGAGGAAGTAAACAAGGAAGAAAAAGATGAAAAGAAGAAAACTTAGGACGGAGGAA